TGCCCGGGGGGGCCCAGACTGCGAGAGGGCACAGGCCAGGCTGAGGGACCCCCCCCCCTCCCTCCGAGTGCACAAATTTTTGTGCACCGGGCCTCTAGTATATACTAAAGGGGAAATATGCAAATTGGCCCTAATGACAGTCTCTATGACATGCGCTGACCACCAGGGGGCAGACACTCAATACAGGAGCTGCCCCCTCATGGTCAGTGCACTTCCACAGAGGGAGCGCTGCCAACCAGAAGCTGGCTCATGGCTGGCCAGCGCAGCGGCAGTGGCAGCGAGATCCGTGATTCGTGGCAGTGCTAAGGATGTCCCTGTGGGGAGCGGGTCTAAGCCGTTAGTCAGACATCCCCCCAGGGCCCCTGGGCTGCCAGAGGGATGTGTAACTGACAGCTTAGGCCCATCCTCCGGGAAGCAGGCCTAAGCTGGCAAGTGGAAATCCCCTAAGGGGTTCCAGACTGCGAGAAGGCGCAAGCCAGGCTGAGGGACCTCCCCGAGTGCATGAATTTTCCTGTACCAGGCCTCTAGTTTATTATAATGACTAAAATGAAAAATACTGACCATAACAAGTGCTGGTGAGGATATGGAGCAACTAGCATAGATGTCAAATGGTATAGAAATTTTGAAACAGTTTGGCAGTCTCTTAGGTAATTGATCATATACCTGCCATATAATACAGCAATTCCACTTCTAAGTTTTTACGTATGAGAATTGAAAGTGTATATCCTTTAAAAGACTGTACCCACATTTTCATAGCAGCTTTATGTATAATAGTTAAAAACTGGAAACAACTCAAATATCCATCAATAGATGAATGGATAAAGAAATTTTGCTTTATCATACAATGAAATACTACTCACCAATCAAAAGGACTGGACTATTGATACATGCAGCAACATGGATAGAACTCAAAATACTTATGCTGAGTGAAAGAAGCCAGACAAAATGTATACTAATGCAATGATTTTATTTATATAAAATTCTGGAAAATACAAAGCAACCTATACAGACAGCACTGGTTGCCTAGCTTCTAGTTAGGGGCAGCAGTGTGAGGGAGAGATTACAAAGCAACATAAGTAAACTTTTGGGAGTGACGGACATGTTTATTATCTTAATTTTGATAATGGCTTAATGGGTATATAAATATAACATATTGTATACTTTAAATATGTGGAATTATTTGTTGTTAATCCTCACCTGAAAATATCTTTCCCATTGATTTTTAGAGAGAGTGGAAGGAAGAGGGAGAGACAGAGAGAGAGGAATGTCAATGTGAAAGAGAAACATCCATTGGTTGCCTTCTGCACTCGCCCCAACCTGAGGCATGGCACCTGCAACTGAGGTACCTGCCCTTGACCAGAATCAAATCATGATGAAGTTCTAACCACTTAGCAACCCCAGCCAGGGCTATGTGGAATTATTTTAAGACCACAAGACATAGTATAGTGCAGCGGTTCTCAACCTGTGGGTCACGACCCCTCTGGCGGTCGAATGACCCTTTCAAAGGGGTCGCCTAAGACCATCCTGCATATCAGATATTTACATTACGATTCATAATAGTAGCAACATTACAGTTTTGAAGTAGCAAAGAAAATAATTTTATGGTTGGATCACAACATGAGGAACTGTATTTAAAGGGCCAGAAGGTTGAGAACCACTGGTATAATGGCTAAGAGACCTACCCAAATCATATTGCTACTTAGAACCAAAGTAAAGCTCATTGTATGAATATCAGTGGCCTACCATTACTTCATAAATATTTGTTAAAAATAAGAGAGGGAGAAAGAGTTAGTGTCACTTTCCAAGGGCTTCCCATGATAATTCAGATTTCTTAGCTTGGCCAGCAAGGTTCTACATTTTCTAGCCAATCTCATTATCTTGCTCCAAAATCATTTCCTATCAGCTCTTTCATTGCACCTTATGCACAGAAACCTTCTTGCTTCTCATTCTCTCCTTATAACCTTAGCACATGCTGTTCCCTATGCCTAAAACTTGTTCCCACATCTTCCCATGACTAACTGCCCCCACTTCATTTTAGGTCCTTTCTAATATTACTTCCATGTAACATACCCTCACCTCAGACTCACAGTACTCATCTACCTACTTTTTATATTTCTTATTTAGTTTTTATCATCTGACATCACATTATATATTTGTTTCCTGTTTGTCTTTCTCCTCTACTAGGTAAGAAGCAAATTGAGAGCAGGGACTTTGTCTT